AAAAAAGTAAAACAACAACAACAGCGAAAACATGCTGGTGAGGTTGAGGAGAAAACGGAACACTTATACACTGCTGGTGGGAATGGGAATTAATTCAGCCATTGTGAAAAGTAGTTTGGCGATTTCTCGAGGAACTCAAAGTAAAATGACCATTTGACCCAGCAATCCCATTTTTAGGTGTATATCCAAAGATAAATAAATTGTTGTACCATAAAGACACATGCACGTGTATCATTTATGTCATGCTATTCACAATAGTAAAGAGATGAAATCAATCAACCTAAATGTCCATCAATGGTAGACTGAATAAAGAAAATGTGGCACATATATGCCATGGAATAACTATGCAGCCACAGAAAAGCATGAGATCATGTCCTTTGCAGCAACATGGATGCAACTAGAAGCCATTATCCTAAGTGAACTAACATAGGAACAGAAAACCAAATACTGCACGTTCTCACTTAGAAGCAGAAGGTAAATATTGAGTACAGAGGAACACAAAGATGGGAACAACATACACTGGGGGCTGCTTGAGGGTGGACAGAGGGAGGAGAGTGAGGATAAAAAAACGACCTATAAAGGTACTATGTTTATTACCTGAGTGGCAAAATAATCTGTACAATCAAACCCTGTGACAGACAATTTACCTGTATAACAAACCGCACATGTATGCATGAACCTAAATTAAAAGCTTTAAAGAAAGAAAAGTGTTGGAAATTACTCAGAATCATTTGAATAACTCAGCTGAGCATGCCCTAAACCTTTTGAATTAAAATAATAATATGTCTTCAGTTACAAGACACAACATATGTTAAGATATAACATTTTTATTTTATTTTATTTTTTGAGACAGAGTTTCACTCTTGTTGCCCAGGCTGGAGTGCAGTGCCGTGATCTCAGCTCACTGCAACATCCATCTCCCAGGTTCAAGCGATTCTCCTGCCTCAGCCTCCTGAGTAGCTGGGATTACAGGTGTATGCCACCACGCCCAGCTAATTTTTTGTATTTTTAGTAGAGACGGAGTTTCATTATGTTGGCCAGGCTGATCTCGACCTCTCAATCCCAGGTGATCCACCCGCCTCGGCCTCCCAAAGTGTAGGGATTACAGGCGTGAGCCACCGCATCCGACCAAGATGTACCATTTATCTATCAAAGTTTTATAAGTTACAATAGCAAAGACTTGGAATCAACCTAGATGCTCATCAATGGTGAATTAGATAAATACAAAAGGGCACATATACACCATGGAATACTATGCAGCCATGAAAAAGAATAAAATAATGTCCTTTGCAGTAACATAGATACAGCTGGAGACCTAAACAAATTATCCTAAACAAATTAATTCAGGAACATGAAATCAAATACTGCATGTTCTCACTTCTAAGTGGTAACTAAATATTGGGTACTCATGGACATAACGATAGACACTGAAGATTAATAGACAGAAATTGGGTGGGTTAGGAAGTGAAGAAGCAGGGGTTGAGAAAGTGATTATTGGGTACTATATTCACTATCTGTTTGACAAGGTCATTCACATCCCAAACCTCAGCTTCATGCAATATACTTATGTAACAAATGTGAACATGTAATGCCTGAATCTAAAATAAAAGGTGAAAATGTGAAATAAGACACTAAAAAAAGAAAAAGTAGTGGAATACTACCTGTGTTTCACTGTGATTGCAGAATTATCTTAAAAAAATCCAGACCCCAAAATTTTATGGTTAAGAACATTAACCTACCGGAAAAATACAGTTATACTAATTATGTATTGGTGAAATCTTTCTTCACATCATTACTTTGTTGTCTAAGAAAACCAATAGCATATATCTAGCTATTCGGCAGCATAACAATCAAACAATAACCTAAGAAAAGTGATTATTTCTTCTTCCATCATTTCAAATAAAAGAAAATCTTATTTGTAGTCCCTGTAATATGAGAATTGTAGAAAAGTTGCCTATGACCTTGTTTACCTTATGACCCTGGATACATATAGTGTACCACCACGCCTGGCTAATTTTTGTATTTTGGTTAGAGACGGGGTTTCACCCATGTTGGCCAGGCAGGTTTTGAACTCCTGATCTCAAGTGATCCACCTGTCTCAGCCCCTGACAGTGCTGGAATTACAGGCATAAGCCACTGTGCCCAGCCACTTACCTGTTCTTAATGCATTGGTTTCAAAACTTGACAGCCTAGCTTCAGAGTTGAGCATATTACCTAGGTCATTCTGTTTCTTGACAACTATGACTAATTAATATGTCATAAACATGACCCAAACTATACAAAATTAGTATCAGTTTTAAAATTTTGACTGGAAATACCTGGAATAAATTAATTTTGGGGGGCAAGGTTCAGGTAGAAAGGCAAGGAGTGTAGAATTTTAGAGCTTGTTGCAGTCATATTTACCAACATTAGATGTGAGATTTTATTATTCAGAATGCTTTGATATATCAAAACTTCAAAATGCTGCAAATGAGAAATCATAACATTCATGGATTGAATATGTACCTTGATTTTGTGGCTCCAATTTACTCAAAAAGCAGTCTGGCCATTCCAGGAAATATGTGATTTCTCACTATTCCCGGCACATCAAGTTTTTCCTCACATTAAGATAAGAAATGTTTCAGCATGTGCTTATTTTGCTTTTGAATATAATGGTGCGTGGCTGTTTGGGCTCTCAGAATTTTTTAAGCCATTAATTTTATCTCAAGGCTTTTTTGCATTCCACACCTTCCTGCATACTAATTAGGTGTGTAAATTTCTTTTAAAATCACATTTCCTTACCAGTCCAAATCAATTCATTCTTCTCTATCATACATATTCCTTTTCGATTACCTCAAAAATAAGTTAATAAAATACTTTACTGTTATTTATTTCTGATTGTAATGATACAATAGATTTAGATCCTCATTTTAGCCATCATTTAATCATAATCATGTACCACTGAACTTAAAAGTTGGAAAAAAAGCAATCTAAATTTCGTCTGAGCTCCAATGACATGTAATTTATAAAATTTTGGAAGAACACAGGCAGGTACTCAGAGTAATCAACTTAGCTTTGGAAGAAGAATTTAATTTTTTATTATCTGCCACAACCATAGCCTGGTGAATTGATTTAAATCATTGAGCTATAATTGCTTTTTGAAGATTTTTTATTTTTCCCTTTCTTGTGAAGTAGTAATTAACAAAATGTAAAAATCTAAATTCAATATATAATTTCATGTTATAAAATAAAGGTTACGCATAAAATATAGCTAACGGTCAAATAAATTCTTTGTTAAGATTGGGGGCCTTTGCGGTTTGTGAGAAACATTCACACACACACACAAAATCTGTAAACAGAGATAAAATGTTTTTGCTGAATAATGTAATTGTCATTTCCTGCTCCCTTATTGAAGGAGAGGTGTCTGTTTACCTGGATGGTTGCTTAAATCTGCCATAAATTTGTTACTCAAAACCTTATTTATTATATTACAGCAAATAGGGTAATAATTACTGCCAGAGAAGGGGACATACTTTTTGTAACTCTTTACATTTTTCTTAAAATACAAATTCTGTTATATAAATTTTGATTTTGAATCTTTTAATTATCTTTTCACTACCTCCCATACATCCTCTAAGTTTTCTTTGTCTTTTTCAACTTCAGTATACAGATTTCAGAAATACTTTAATTTTTTACTGAATACTTAACATATATAAGAAAAAGTTATTTTACAATTTCCACATGCTGTAATGAAATATGTTGAGCTTAGTTTATGTTAACTGCATCTAGTTCTTGTTTGATTTCTTCTTTTTTCCTCTAAAGTTATATTTTATCTTGCAAGTTTGTGTATGTATGTGTATTCATTATATATTTGTTTAACAAATTATCCAAAATCTTAGTGGATAAAGCAGCAAACATTTATTATCTCACAGTTTCCATGAGTCAGAAATTCAGAGAATGCTTGGCTACATTCTCTGTCTCAATATCTCACAAGGCTAAAATCAAGGTGTCAATTTTGCTATAGTCATCCCAAGGTTCAACCAGTGATGAGTCCACTTTTACAGTGACTCAAGTAGCTGTTGGTGGGACTCAGTTCCTCCATAGCTATTCTTAGTTGGCGGTTGGCAAGAGGCCTACTTCACTATTTTACCACATGGATGTTATCCATAAAGCATCTCACAACATGGAAGCAGCTTCGACAGGGCTAATAAATAAGAAGGCAACAAATAATGTGCAAGAAAAAGTCAAAGGCTTTTGTCATCTAGACTGGGAAGTGATTAAGCTCAAGTGTGATTAATGTCAAGCCAACCATCAAGCTGAAAGGACAGGATATGAATATTAAGAGAAGGGGATCACTGAAAGCCATTTAGGAAACTGCCTACAAATTATGTGGTTATGGATGTTTTATGAAAATAAAATTCCTTGTCTTAGAGTGGTTTCTTTTTACTTTCTTTCTTTTTCTTTTTTTCTACATCTAATATTTTAGAACCCAAAACATGGGGATAAAGACAAATTTTAGCATCTTATCCTTAATATTTAGGAGCACAGCATATGTCATGTTAAGGATGCTACTATGCCTTTACATTATGTTGGAAAGTATATATTCATCTCTGGCTCTCTTTTTTTCTTTGAAGTGATGGTGATTTATAATGTCTAGAATAAAGTATACTTAGAAGCCAAATTAAAACTGTACTTTAACGTATTTGTATAAGCTTACTAAAATATTACTAAATACTCCTGTTTGCATCTTCATCATCTCCAAACTTTTTTCTCCTGCTACGGCATCTTTTCGTATTTGCATGAACCAAATGTGGCTTTTGAAATAGGAAATTTTGGATGGAATAATAATCCACTATGAAAGAGTCATATAGTTAGTGTAAGGAGAAGGGCTGACTTACAAGACAAGACCTAAATATATTTTTAAATTCTTCAACACTACTGTACCTTCTCCGTAATGTACCCAGAACATATGTCTCAGATTTCAATAGGCCTTGGAGTCACATTTTCCTCAAATACCTGAATAAAAAGAGGAACCTACAACCTTGCTTTATTATATATAAGAACTTAACAATTTACCAGGTGTTCAAAGATATCCAGGAATATTTATCTTCTTCAAAATATTTCCTGATTTTCACTTGCCATTCCACTTCTCATCTGGATCCAGATCAGAACCTTTATCTACTTTTCTGCAGGTTACTCACTTCTGGCTTTCTTCATACTTGTGTGGCTCTCTTTTAAACACTTCACACTGAGTTGTGGACACTTATCCCTTCTTTTTTCAAAAGGTCTTTTTTCTTTTCCTTTTTCAGGAGGCAAGGAAAGGGGAGGCAGTAGGAAGGATTGAACAGAGAGGAGGAAGTGCAAAATACTCATTTGGAACAATGGGAGATTGAGTAGATCGGACAAAGAATGATTAAAGTGAGGACTGCTGACATGGTCCTATTTTCCTCCAGCCATGTTTAGTTGCATCGTTGTGGCATGGAATAGATGGACAGCTGGTTTATCCAGGGCTCGCATCTTACCAAGCATATAGGAAGTGACAGGGAGGTGGGTGAGTTGAGGAGGTGTGCAAGGGACCAATGAGAATGGTTGGCCATGGAGTTTAGGCTGGCTCACTAGAGAGGGAAAAGTCATAAAGGAAGGAAGAAACAGTGAACAGGTAGTAAGATCTGGATTGGAGGTGCTGGTAAGGTTGCAGGAGTTTTGTTTCAGGGCAGTACAGGGAGTAACCTGGATAGCTAGGAGGTGGTGGTCAGAGTGGGATACTGTGGGGTTTGCAGTCCTTGGACCTGACAAGGTCTAAGGTCTGATCATGGAAGGACAGGGAAGCTGAGGTAGGGCAGAGGACAGGAGTGGGCTTCATGAGATCAAAAGGATGTTAGAAGGATTGTCTACCTGAATACTGACATCTCCAAAAAGAGGCCTAGTGTGAAGAAGTTACCTCCTAAGCTCTTCATGGATAAGGGAAGCATGCGCCACGTGGGTAGCCTCCCTAGTCTAGCACCCAGTATATAGCCTATGCAGAGTGAATACCTGGGGGCTGCTGGGGGTGAAAACAAGGTCCCTGTGACAGGACCTGAAGCTTGGGGGTCTCGGTGACAGGAGTGGGCCTAATTTTTTGGTGTAGAATCGAGCCTTGAGTGCACCGGTGGGATCATATTAAAAGGAACCCCTCCAAGACTAAAGGAAGATGCATCCTCTGACAATGTACGCTCTAGGCGTCCCAAGTAGCTGGGCTGGGTGTTAGATGGGCTCCAAGGCATCTCCTCAGGTGGCAGTGCGAGGATCCTTGGGAAGGCAAAGCTGTGCAGGAAGAAAACGTCAAGATGCTACATTCCCTCAGGGAAAGCCCCTTTCCCAGGAGCAGGGAAGGCGAGACAGTTTAGGCTGGGTCAGTTTGTCCCTGCCCTCAGAGTCTGTTGATCTTGGAAAAAGAGGGCCTTATTTTATTTATTTATTTTTCTTTGAGACAGTGTCTTGCTCTGTTGCCCAGGCTGGAGTGCAGTGGCTCCATTTCAGCTCACTGCAACCTCCGCCTCCCAGGCTCAAGCGATCGTCCCGCCTCAGCCTCCAGAGTAGCTGGGAGCACAGGGACCACAAGCGCCCGCCACGACGCCGGCTTTTATTTATTTTATTTTTATTTTTTGAGAGAGAGACATAGCCTCCCTATGTTGACCAGGCTGGTCTTGAACTTCTGGGCTCAAGCAGTCCTCCTGCCTTGGACTCCCAAAGTGCTGGGATTACAGGCGTGAGTCACCATACCCGTCTGTTTTTTTGTTTGTTTTTTTTTTTTTTTTTCCCGCGAGACGGGGTCTCCCTATGTTGCCCAGGCTGGTCTTGAACTCCTGAGCTCAAGCCATCCTCCCGCCTCGGCCTCCCAAAGGGCTGGGATTACAGGGATGAGCCACCGATTCCGGCCAAAAGAGGGCTTTGGGGCACTCCCAGAAGGCGAGATCTCTCTCATCTGTCATCTTTAAAGAGGAGGAAGCGGACTGCCAATCAGCCATAGTCCATTCGCCCCGGGTACGGTGACTCCGGGGCTGCCAGGACCAAATGGTCTCCTTCTGGCTTTTGCACGGCATCAAGTAACCCGCTCCAGGCTGCACCGCTGCCCTGGCCTTGGGGAAGGACTCCTGGAGGGCGGTGTAGGCTGCTGCAGAGTGCCACTGCAGGAGTTGAGGCCGTGGATTCTGAGGGCGGATTGGGGCGGAATCCGGAGGGACGCGGACCCGGTGCAACGCACTGCGCAGGCGGCGCAGGCGCCTGCACCCAGCTGTTGGGGAGTCTTTCCTCCAGCTTTCCCCGGAAAGTCGTCTAGGCACCAGTCTCTTTTTTCTGCCTTTTTTTTTTTCCCCTCAGGGGAGTCGGCGCGACGGTGAATTTCCGTTTCCCGCGGTGTCCAAGGGGACCTGACGAGTCGCAGTTGTGAGCAGGTTCGGTGCCGCGGGCTGGGGTAGACGGACGTGGGGTCCCTGGCTCTGGGGCACTGGGAAGATCGCGAGTCGTGCGCGTGGGAAGGTCTTCCCCCGGTCCTCCGGGTCATCTTTGCTCCGGAGAAGCAGCATATTTCGCATCTGTCCCAGGTGTGCCTGGGGGTCGTTGGGAGAGGGACGAGGTGAATCCCTGCAGAGAGCCCGGACTGGGAGGGAAGGTGTCGGGGAGACGTCGTTTCCTGGCGACGTGGCCCCGGCAGGCGACTTAGACCTGAGCCGAATCTGTTGAGCCCAAATTGTGCTTTTCCCACCAGTAAGAAAGGGGAGAGAAACATTAGTACAAGTTCGAAACTAAAATGTAGTAGAGAAGCAACATAACCTCTGAAATCACACAGCTACTCAGTTTCAAAGCATTCCTAGTGCCCAGCTCTCCTAACTCCCGGCGGGTGTTCCTTGACAATATGGTGATATATAAAGACTTTCTGTTTCCGTTCGTGTGTGTGTCTGTGGGAAGCCTCTGACTCACCTCTATGCTCCAGTGGCACCCTGTGCAGCCTTGCAGTGTAGCCCTTGTTGCATGGCACGGAAGATACTAGTTTGGATTTTCTCAGCAAGTCATATCATAGCTATACCTATTTACTGGCCCAGTGGCTAGCGCATCATAGACACAAACATTTATTAAACGGAATTAATACAGGACCTTAATTGAATGAAATGGCACCCTGCCCCGCTTTTTTTCAATCAAGCAGTCAGATTTTATGCAGCCCCATATCCTTAAAAAACTCACTAATTCAGTGATTACCAATTTATTGGCCACAGATTCTCAAGTACCTCAGAAATCACTGGAAGGGTCTCTGTGAGTCCATGGGGTCTCCAGGCATCATCTCGAACCAGTCATATCTCGCACGTACAGATATCGCTATTTTTCAAATGTGTGTAGATGAGTTGTAATTTAGGAGTTTTACAGAGTCAACAGGTACTAAAAGTAATACTGCACTCATATTGGAAGTTCATAAAAACGTTTTAAATCTTTTATTAAAATTTGAGTTTTAGTTTAAGTTAGGAAACCACTTCATTAGTCCGGTTGATATCTAGGTCTGAGCCGTCCAGTAAGTAGCCACATGTGACTGTTTAGAGTTAGAATGAAATTAATTAAAAATTCATTTTTTCAGTTTCTTTTTTTTTTTTTTTTTTTTGAGACGGAGTCTTGCTCTGTCGCCCAGGCTGGGGTGCAGTGGCCGGATCTCAGCTCACTGCAAGCTCCGCCTCCCGGGTTTACGCCATTCTCCTGCCTCAGCCTCCCGAGTAGCTGGGACTACAGGCGCCCGCCACCTCGCCCGGCTAGTTTTTTGTATTTTTTAGTAGAGATGGGGTTTCACCGTGTTAGCCAGGATGGTCTCGAACTCCTGACCTCGTGATCTACCCATCTTGGCCTCCCAAAGTGCTGGGATTACAGGCTTGAGCCACCGCGCCCGGCCTCATTTTTTCAGTTTCTTTTCAGTTTCTCTAAGTACATTTTAAGTAACCACACGTGGCTAATGGCTAAATAGCTGAAAAGTACAGATATAGAATATTTCCATTCTTGCAGAAACAGATAGTGCTGATGTTGACACTTAAGATGAATAGAAAGTAACTTAACCATAAAATGTAACCTTAGCAGAGGTAACTCATCTAATTTATAGCACAACAGAGAGAAACGGAATTGGGGATGGTTAAGCAGTTTCTACCCTTGTTCAGTGAACAAATACATTATCTATTCATAAAGAAATACATGAAATTTAATGTTTTTCCCTGGGTATTGCCTGGATTGTAACATGCCTTTCCCACCTCCTTACCCCAGCATTCTTCCTTGTAGGTTAGAGTTACTTGTTATTGGTAAATAGCCGTTATGGAGACTAAGGACCAGAAGAAACACAGAAAGAAAAACAGTGGACCCAAAGCTGAAAAGAAAAGGAAGCGGCATCTGCAAGATCTCCAGCTAGGAGACAAAGATGCTGGGAAGAGAAATTGCAAAGCCTTTGCAGTTCAGTCTGCTGTGCCGATGGCTCGATCCTTTCACAGGTATGTTTAGCTACAGTCTGATAGTTCTTCCATTCATTGTTTTTAAATAGTAGGAGCCTCTCACAGGTGACATTTGGAGTCACAAGTCTAGTTCAGCTCCAAAGGACATGCAGATGCATGCTGTGTGACTTTTACCAAAACATGAGAAGTCTTCCCACAGAAGCTGCCTTGCCTCCAGCATCTGCACACTGGTTGGTGTTTCTTGCCCAAGATACAAGAATTTATAGAATTTGTTTCTTCCTAAACTTTAAACTGTTTCTACAGTGATAAGTGTGCTTTTTCCCTCTGGATATGTTTTACAAAGTTGTAACATAAAATACAAAAATTACAATATTTATTACTAACATAGCTTTATTTAGTGAGTCCTTGTGATATTCTTAGCAGTGGACTTTAAACGTTATTCAACTAAATCCTTCCAGCAGCCTTACCAGAATAGGAATCATTCTTGCTCTCATTTTATGGGTAAGAAAATTGAGGTCAAGAAAACAAGTTACCTCCAATCATATAACCAGTAAGTAGGAGAGCCAAATTTAACTCTAGAGCCTCTGCTCTTATCTGTTATGATGCACTGCCTCGGTATTTACCTTTTGGTTTTTAAAAAACTATTAAAATCACTCATAAAACAGTCAGATTTAAGAAGTGTTTAATTTTCAGTTCTCTATACTATTGAAGTCGTCTTGTTACATCTTTATTGAACAGCAGTTATTTGGTGAGGGTCAGAAGTTAACAAGTTAATAATTGACAAGTTAATTTTATGTATATATAGTTTGTTGTATTCTCTATATAATATACTAAAGTACTCATATCTATAAGTATACTAAGAAAGTCTACTTATAAGGTTGGTACCTTTTACTCTATTTTGAAAGTGAGTTTTCTTTTTTTTTTTGGTTAATAGGAGTCAGGATTTGAAGACAAAAAAGCATCATATTCCAGTGGTTGATCAAACTCCACTAGAGCCCCCACCAATAGTGGCAGTGGTGATGGGGCTTCCAAAGTTGGAAAGTGCACTTTGATACAATGCCTCATTTGGAACTTCACCCGGCAGAAGTTGACCGAGATCAGAGGCCCTGTGACGATCGTGTCAGGTAGGAGATGCCGCCGCAGACACAGAGTTGGCGTGGCTGTTTCATCTGAGGGACATGCATGTGTTTCTTGTTTTCTTGAGTGGAACGTGTTAAATATTTTCATATCATGTTACCTCTCTTATACTTTTACTAAGTTAGCTATAACTTCAGAAAAGGGTAAGTTCCCAGAGATAAGGATGTGATACATGTCTTATCCTGACTGCTCTATGGCTTTGCCAAGCATGTTCCTTGGAAGGGCCTAGCAGGCCTGGTCACTGTGAACACATCATTTAACAGACAGCACGTACCTCCTATGTGCCAGGTGCATATGCTTGCCCTTATGAAACCACATGCTGGTGGAAGTGCGCCTTTTCTCTTTTTCCCATGAGGATTTGTCAGCTTTGGGAGATGGTGACCTTTCCAAGTTTGAGGGAAGGTGAAACAAACTTCCAGTGGTAGAATGGCAATGCACAGTCTGAAATCTCTTGTTATTGCAGTAACATAGTTGGATTGAGGCTTTTCGTTATCTTTGGAGCATCAATATTTTCTCTTCCATTTTTTTGAGACAGCGTCTTACTCCATGGCACAGTCTGGAATGCAGTGGTGTGATTACAGCTCACTGCAGCCTCAACGTCCCAGGCTCAAGCAATCCTCCTACCTTAGCCTCCTGAGTAATGCATGCCACCATGCCTGAATAATTTTTCTTTTTTTTTTCTTCCTTTTTTGTTTTCGTAGAGATGGGGTTCCCCCATGTGACCCAGGCTGATCTCAAAACTCCTGGGCTCAACAGATCCACCTGCCTTGGTCTACCGAGGTGCTGGGACTACAGGCGTGAGCCACTGCACCCAGCCCATATTCTCTTGACCATTTTCTTATTACCTTAATTTAGACATAATTATCGTTACGAATATTCTGTTGCATTATGTTTGAGGAAGTTTTTAGCGATAGTGGGAATACGGGAAGTTTTGATAGAGGTGAACACACCTGCAGCTGAACAGCAAGATCATGGTTATCATGGAGCCTGTCCAGTCAGAATTTTCCCTGTTTGAGCACTTTTATTCATCTGAGTAGACTTTTGATATTATCTAAATTTAGAACACAGCAAGAAAAACAGGATGGAATTTATTTTATTTTACCAGTTTTTGCCTATAAAAATGAACTTCTGGTACACTCCTGTAAACGTATATGGTGTTTTACTGGATGCAATTAAAAAATGAAAATTAGAGTTGATGATTGGAGTTTTTTCAGGGTCTTTTTAAAGTAAACATTTCATCTTTTCACTTACAGGTAAAAAGCACAGACTCACCGTTATTGAATGTGGGTGTGACATTAACATGATGGTTGATCTGGCTAAAGCCCCAGATCTGGTAAGTCAGCAGGGGCAGCCTGGGGTGCTGATGGAGACTTACAGCGTTGTGGTAGGTTATTTACCCTGTGAAGGGAAGAGAGTTTTATGATTATTAAAGGAATCATGGTCATCATCAGGGATACAGTAGATGTGACTGAATTGATGATGATAATAATAATGGTAATAAATGTTGTTATATTAATAATACAAATGGAATGTGCACAATGAAATGTATTCCAAAATCTAAAAGCAAATGACAAGATGCAGAAAACCTTTAATGAACACAGTTAATAAGAGTTCATTAACATGCATACATATATACATATAAATATATCATAGTAAGTACTATTTCTTCTTGGACCCTTCCTGGCACTATGCTAACTGCTTTCTACAAATTTTCCTTACGTAAACCCTTGATACACCCTTGAGATGAGTAAGTATTATCCGTAGTTTACATAAGATGAAATAGAGCCTCCCAGCAGTTAAGTAACTTGTGTGAAGATGGGCCCCTTGTTCCTGATGGTTCTGGAACCTTCATGCTTAATGATAATGCTAAAGAAGTACATGAATTGCTTCTGAAGAAGTGATCAGAATTTATCAATAGAAAATGTAGACAGTACTCAGTGTGTGGAAAATGTATACAGTCTTGCATTTATGGAAATGATAATGTTCACTATTCCTGATATTCTATTAACTATCTTTTAAATTAACAAAAATAGAATACAAGTTAGAAAAAAAAAAAAATTAAAGGCCAGACGCAGTGGCTCACACCTATAATCCCAGCATTTTAGGAGGCTGAAGTGGGCGGATCACCTGAGGTCAGGAGTTCAAGACCAGCCTGACCAACATGCAGAAAACCCGTCTCTACTAAAAATACAAAATTAGCAGGGTGAGGTGGCACATGCATGTAATCCCAGCTACTTAGGAGGGTGAGGCAGGAGAATCACTTCAACCTG